AATTCTGGGAGTTGAAGTCCACTCATCTTAAAGTGGCCAGGTTTGGACAACACTGGCCTATATTCCTGAGGTCAAATCTAGCTAAAGCAAACATACACACACACACACGCACACTCACACACACATACATATGCATGCATACACACATAGACACACACACATAAACATATATGCACTATACACACAATGGACCCACGTCTCCTTGGTTTCAGTGAGAGAACAAGTTAAGTGCACGGCTATTTTTCCAATATGAGATGATGTAAAAGTGTTAATGTTGGCTCTGTCATGTTCTAGTTCTATGAGAACTTTGCTCTATCATTAAAAAAACCCAAAACCTCATTTTATTTTTCAGGATAAAAAGTTTCATTACTATACACGGTGATCTGGCATACACAAATCTTATGAAAGGGGCTCTGCTGTTTTGAATCTCTCCCCCACCCCATTTACACAAAACAAGTTAATTTCGTAGGTGATGGTGTATACTTCGGCTCCTCTCCTCAAGGCCTAAGAGAAAAAGCTATGGAATAAAGTACACAACTGCAGTGTTGGAATAAACTGGACATGAGAGCAAAAATCTGGAAATGAATATTGAATTTGGCCTGATTCTGTCCTCCCACAGAAAGCCTTAAAAAAAAAACACCCAAGAATTTCTTGCCACAGAAAACGGGCACGAAATAGGAGAAAGGTTTGAGAATTATCTCATCAAACTAAGAAGAAACAAGAGAAAGAGGAAGGAACCATGCAACGATCATATTAATGAAGCATTTTGTAGAGCATTTATAAAGTATTTGGTTTTTTTTAAACAAAAAAAGATGTAATAGAGAACACACAATAATGTGGATTCTCGGGTGTTGTCCCTTGTGTGCTATAGTGAAGTAATATAGCCAAGTGAAGGGAAGAGAGGAAACAAAGCCTGCTGTCTCCATCTGTCTTTCTACCCCTACTGGCCCCTCCTTGCAGCATCTACAAATTGGAGTAACACAGCTGAAGAGGGGATCCTGTAGAATCTTCTCCCCAAAGATCTGATCATGCAAGAATCAAGTCTGTGAAGTGTTCCAGATGTTGCTGAACTCCAACTCCTGGCTGTTCTAGCCAGGCTGACCAATAGTGTGGGGAATTATAGCTCACCGAAATCTCAAGGGCCAAGGATTCCCTACCTGTGCAGGGATTATGGGGTTAAAAACCTATATATGTTGAGTACAATCCCACCAAAGTATTGGTGTGTAGAGAGTAAGGAATATGACCTTGATGGAGATATACAGGAACTGTTACCTAGACAACAGGGGCTGAAACATTTTTAAAGTCCAGAACAATGAGATAACATTCAGAAGCAGCTCAGGCAGACACCCCCTTAATTTAGTGGGGTATAAAAAGCAGGGGAGGGACAGCACAATCAGACTTGCAAGACTATTACAGCCAATCTTGCTTAATAAAAGCAATTTTAACCTTCCTGTGGTGTTGATTTCCTGGTCTGGTCTGGACTACTGAGTGGGACTGATACGATGGCAAAAACAGAAAGGGTGTCACCAGCAAACCTGGCATTGCTTTCTTCCTCATGGGTCTGTGGCGCTAGGATGAATACCCTAATAGGACTTCCATCTGTGTAAGAGGCTGACGAAAGATATCTTTAAAAATACATAGCTTTAAGCATCAGCTATTTTTTTTTTAATGCAAAATTAAGTGTAGGATCACTGTTTGCATCCATCGTTGATTTTCTAGAACGCCTTGTTCCTGCAAGGCCAGTGAGCATAGAGTCCATTCAAAACAACAGCCAGGAAATTGATGGGTAGGGCTCTGTGCTGTGATAGAGCTACTCCAGATTCAGAAGTGATATGTTTCTCCAAACAAGTTGCTGGAGAGCAGGAGCAGAAGAGCCCTATCGGCCTCTTGGGCTTGTGGGCCTCTGATCAGCACCTGATTGCCCACTGGACCACTGGGAGAGCAGAATGCTCCACGGGCCTTTGGTCTGACGGGAAAAACCACGAAACAATGCACCACTCAATTATTTTTAAAAGGAAGTCCAGAGAAAAGTATCAGCTTAGGGAACAAAAAATAGTAATAAAAACAAATACCAGGTCTACAGTATGAGCCAGTAACCTTGTATTTATAAGGCAAGGGTTATAACCATTGTCCTATTATAGTATTCTTGGTAAAAGAAGACACTAGAGGCCATGGTAACAATTTATTCAGTTGAGGCGGCATGCCTGACTTGGTGAGGGAGCTACCGAACTGCTGGGGTTAGCCTGTAAAGCACACCAGCCAAAACAGACAGGAGCCCTTGAGCGACAAGAGTCTTTTCAAACCACAGCAGGAAAATGCAAGGGGAGTGGGGTGAATACAGAGGGCCATCTTCAGTTCCTGTCCTCCAAAAATGGTTACTGGCTTGTTCTGGCAGCAGGGCAAGTGGGCAGTATGGATAAGCCATTGACCATATTTAATAAAAATGGTTTCAGTGGCTTAATCTTGAGAAAACAAACAGAAGTGTTTGTTTAATATATATGAGTGATTCTCTTTCTCTCTCTCTCCTGTCCTTTCGTTTTCCTATTCCCAGTATTGGCAGTGAAAGTAGACAGCCTCTTGGAAGCACTGGATCGGGAGGACGGATGTGTGTCATTTCTGGAGCAAATCCATAGGGCAACATAGGTTGTTCTGCAGAAGGAAGCTGATACTCAGGGAAGTTGCAGTTCAGCACATCCAGAGTATTCAAGACTGAGTGTTTTTAATGTGAATGGAGATAGGACTAACACCTGCTAGCTAGGGAGAATTTGGAGGACAAGAAAACCAGCAACAAACTCCTTTTCTGAACTGTTGTCTAGATCCAACAATGACAGCAGAATATGGGAGAGAGCACCATATCTACATATATGTTTATGGATGCCTTGTTCAGGTAGAGTTACCTTTTCATTCTGCCATTTCCAAATCTTTGTCCCAGGTAGTCTCTTTGTGTGGCAGCGTTTAGATCTAAATGCAAGATTAAATTAGTAGCAATGAAATGGAAGGGCAAAGCTTGCTTTTGTTAACTTAGGCCCAATAGATTTCAATAGGGTTAACATGTGAATAATATACATAGTTCATTTTGTAAGCTACTAGAAATGTTAACTTTGGAATACTTTATTTTTAATTCAGGATTAAGGAGACAATTAAGGAGTTCTATTAATTGGTTTCCAATAGAAAAGCAAGGGTTTTTGGCTCCTCCTAAACCCTGTTCTTTTTCTTTACAGAAATACAGAGAACGGCATGAATGTGACACATATGGGCACAGATTCCATGCTTTTTTGTCTCTGAGCAGTGTAACTACAAAACCAACGGTCAGTGGTTTCTTTAAGGAAAATGGTTTTGTGTGATTGTTACTTTGGGGTCATGGTAACCACAGAGTAAACCATGATTTTAAGCCCAGTTGTTAATGGGTTAATGTACAGTTACCCATCAGGCTTCTCCTTAAATAAACTATGGAAAGGAACTTTCATAGTTGTTCCAGTTGAAAGGAAAAGGAACTGAATGCATTCAGAGTGTTTCACACTAATCATTTGCTGTGGCATAGCATGGCTAATTAAATTGCTGAAAAACAAGTGGGCTGCCCACAGCCCTCAAACCACATGCAACATGCAGTTAGCAACTCGTATGATAAAGGTGCTGGGCTGGCACTGGGGAGACCCAAGTTCTGGTCTGCCCTCAGCCACAGCCTCACTGGGAGACTTTGGGCCAATCACTCTTTCTCACACTATCCTACCCCACAGGGATTTCTGGGGAAAATGGGGAGAGGAACAGTATCTAAGCTATCTGGAGTTCCTTCTCCCCCTCCCCCTCCCCCTCTTCCTCCTTCCTCCTGATAACAACAACTGCGACTATTACTCTAGGTTGGCCACCCAATCTGATTTTGGGGCCTTTGGGGAGAGTTCAGAAGCTTACAAGCAGGATGGGAATGGTTTGCATCTCAGAACCCTCCCATTCCTATTTCCACTGTAAAAACCACATAAGACAACTAAAAAAATTGACCCTCTCCTTCTAGGGACATAAAAGTAGCACCTGAGGGTCTCCTGCTGACCTCCAAAATTTGAGTAGGCCAGGTTTCAACACCCAACACCTCCAAGGCTGCCCACCCCTGCAGTGAAATGCATGAATGAGATTCTGTGGGAAAGGACTAGTGAATTTGGTTCTGATCCTCAGCCACAAATGTAATTTACATGCCAGCTTCAGCTTAAGACATTGTTTTGCATCTGGCTCCAACCGTAACCCTCCCAATTCTAGTAAAAAACCTCAGATAGATTCCACAAAAATCTGTTGGTCCCTGATGCCAGGCATCCTTACAGAGTAATTTACTGAAAAAGAGAATGGGTTTCTGTCTGCGGGAAATCTATCTGAACCAGTCCTTTTCAGATTGCACAACACAAGGAAGACTTTTACACCCCAATCCAATCTATCCAAAAGAGGAAATGAACTGAAAAGGAAATGAGTCCAATTCAGAACTTATCAAAAGATGTTATCACAACCTCTATTTGCTACAGTTATCCTTGAGAGCTAACGGCTTTACTAGATCTTGTCCCACTCTTTGCTTCTTGAGAGGAAGTGCCGACTGCTAGCTGGAAGAACCCAGATATGTAACGACTCTAGTCAGTGATGCTGAGAATAAAAACACTGCTTTGTGCTTCCCTTGTGCATTAAGATAGTGGACTTTACAAATTAATTTATTTTGGAGGAAGTATGTATGGCATTACATACTATGGCATTATGCGTAATTTTTAGCAGGAATTAGAGGAAGAATCAAGCACACAGGTAATACCCAACTGGGAATGATAGCACCCAGAAATCCTAAAAAAAAGGGATTATCCCTAGGAATTTTCTGAGCAACTCAGCAAACTGATTCCAGATAATTGGCATTCATCTTTTTCTTTTATGCATGGCTGGAATCAGATAAAACTTTTTTCAGAAGCTTCCCGAGCAGATCAATAGGGCCAATGTTCCAGATAAGAAGTAGCCAATTTGCCATTCATACACACTTAGGGTTCACCTTGGATCATTAGGCTGTATGAACCACCCACAGAGACAACAAGGCATTTTGCATAATAAAAGGTAGTGGGTGTAAAACAGTCCTTTGCAACTGTTCCCCTCATTTTGATCTTTTAGAACTGTCTCTGTTGAAGGCTGCATTTTGAATTCTTCTAGGCAGTTAGTAGTTTGACTTGAGAAGTCAGTACAGACATTTTTCCTGCCCCTCTTCAGCATAAGTTGCCTGCCTGCCTTTTTAAATCTCTCCCATCCTACCCCTTTCACTTCACCAGTTGTTCTTTATATATGATATATTGATCTCTAAATAAAACAGCCTAACAAACTTAAATTGAAAGCAAAAAAAAAGGGGGGGGGAATGAAAAGGGGGAAAAAAAACAATATAATTGTTCTACTTGTCTACAATACAGGTAAAATAATTATATCTTTGTAAAAATTACTACAACTCAATTTTTAAATATCAGTTGAATCTTGACTACATGGAATCATATTGTCTGATCTTTCCTTTTTGTCTATAAAGACTGGGAACTGAACGATTTTGTTAAGCTAGCCTTTAGAATCTGGTACACAGGAATCCATCCAGGAGTACAAAATCACATTTTTTAACATGTTCCAAACACAATATATCCAGAGCACTTCATAAACATACATTTTCCAAATTTGGGGGATATAATTTCACAGCACATGAACAGATTGACACGTTTACTTTCTCCCAAGAACCTTGTTCATCACTGCAATAATATCCAAACAATAAGAAACTACTAACGTACTTTCAATTTTATGGCATCTCCAGCATAAGAAGAATGATAACCACACTTTTTAAAACAATAAACACTGAGGTGCCCCATTAAACCTCTTCACACACACACACACACACACACACACACACACACACAGAGAAATGTTTTAACCTTCTTTTTAGATCGTAAGGGCAATTCTGCAGTGCAATCTAAGCTGCTTCTTTCCCATTCTGCTCCCAGCTGTTTCTAAACCCAACTTCAGAAATTCCAGCCTGGATTACACAGGCTGGGCTGATGCTGAGTCTGGACAATGGCCACTGCAGAACCCGGCTGCTCTTTCGCTACTTCTTGCTGTTCCCATCTGGGCAGGGAAGGCAACTCCAAGTGGCTGTCTCCTGTGCAGACCAGTCAACCAGGGCCTGCCTTTTCCTTTTAGAGTTTGCTCTCTCCTCACTAGTCCCCGTCCCTTTCCTTTGCTTTTCCAGATGTTGCACATAGGGATGCTTTCGTTCCCTTTTCCTTTGACGCTATAGCACACTCTTATTTTCTTCCCCTTATGAGAAGCTCTGATGCTACAAGAATCAAAACAGTAGGGAACAAGTCCTTCTTTTATTCTTACATCCCTCCGTTGGCTCAGGGAAACTTTCAAGCAAGGAAGAATAGAAAGTTCACCTTTGTAGAAACAAAGTAGCAACTTGCCTATATTGCAACTTCAAGAAGGGAGGGAGGGAGGGAAGCTTTGCTGTACAGTGAGCAGAGGGTGGGAAATCAAAGGGACCATGTTTCATCCAGCCTGGGCAAAAACCAAAAGCCTGTCTGCTGGGAGATGTAAAGTCTGAAGAGAAGATGAGTTCTTGGGGTGAAGATGCTTCATTGACTTAATGGGCCATTAACAGGGCAGCAACCAGCTGCTGGAAGGGAGAAAGGGTGCCGGGCCCTGCAGCTGTTCAGAGCTGGGGCTGCTGCTAGATCAGAACAAAGTGCTGGAGATCATTCTTTCTGAAGACCTGAAGGCAGCGGGACCTTTTCCAGGCACTTTTGAACTGAAGTTGGAAAACACAGGCAAGGGCTGCATTTGCAATGGGCTGGGATGGAAGGAGACCAATGTCGTCTGTTCCTGCACTCAGGAAGCAGTGAGTAGCCCATACTGGGGATGGGCCAAGCAGAAAGTGTGGATCTGCTTTAACCAACATTTAAAATGTTTCTTAAGACCTGAGACCTCTAGCTTTGTATAATAGGAAACTCCAATTCACTACTCCCATTTTTTGTAAATTATCCAAATTTATTTTTGCAAATGTTTTAAATTATTGGTAATATTGAATTGTTGATTTGGTCTTTGTAAAAACCTTATTTAATACATTGAAAACTACTGGAGTTTCAGAAGCAGCCAAGACAGTTGGAGCAAATCAGGAATATAACTAATGATTGAACTATATGTAATGCTATTCAAATGTTTTTGTACTCCTTTTGTAAACTTTCAAAACTTTTGAAAGTGTCATCATTCACTGAGAAAGAGTAATTGTTCCATTTTCAACTTGAGTTCTCCAAAGAAAGAGGTTTCCTACTGTTTTTAAATAAATTATTCTAAAGTGTCGATTTCTGATGAGAAGTTAAGTTTTTAATTGCTTACTCATCAACACCCAAATATGTCTAATCAGCTTAATTGTTAATCGCTCCAAGACTTGGAACCAAGTTCTGGCCAGGATTTCTCTGTCATTCTCGTGCAGAACTGGATTGTTGCTGCCCAGATTACATAGCCCAAGCAAAGAGGTTGAGAAAAAAGGACACCTGTCAGCAGTTTCAGTTTCTTCTGAACGAGTGGCAATGATTATTAATTTCTTTCCTGTGTATCTGACTCTTCCTTATCCATTTTCTGTTCTTCTCATGCTCACAAAATATTTGAAAAAGTTCCCTCCCCATGGGAAACCACATTTATGCCCTACTCACAAGCATTTCATTTCCCTGAGTCAGAAGAGAGAGGGAGATTACACATTCAATCTAATCTCCAGCAAACCTTATATTTAACATTGTACTGCTGCATAATTATCCTGTTTACAATGTTCTGTACATCTTTTCTCACAGAAAATGTTTTTAGATTTGGATTCTAAGCTTCACACAAATGCCAGAAAGCTTTGGCAAGGAGATGGCCTCTGCATACTTAGGAATATTTCATGGAGAAAAAAAATATGTTTGCAATAAGGAATGCACAGAAGTGTGCTGGCTCCATTTGAACAAACCAAAGCCAGCCAGTTTAGCCTTCCAGCAAGAGGACTGTGTGAGCTGAAGTGGATAAACACAGCTTAGGTTAGAGTTATTAAAAAAATGAAGCCAGGGCCTCTCAACTCCTCCTTCAGCTTCTTGCTTAACACCTTTGGTAACTTCTTGAGCGATGAAAGAGTAGTATCACTTGATGCCTCTGAGTTTCCATCAACCAAAGATTGCACCGGGGAAAATCAGAGCACTTTGAAACCATGACAGGCCCCCATTCTTGGGTTGCTCAAAAGCAGTTTGAAGTTGAACTCTGATTAGCGTCAGGCCTTGTAATGCTGGGAACAAGGAGCAAG